AGTTTTTAGCCAAACTGCTGTGCCACAACTTTGTGGGGTGCAAGGAAACCTCTCAAAATAAACATAAATATAAGTAAAATAAAAATTAACGTATATAAAATATATAAAATAAAAGTAAAATATAGATATTATATATGATAGAAATATATATAAAATTTAAATATAAATATGAAAATAAATATAAATAATTATAAATAATATATAGTAGGATACAAATAAAATATAAATATAAATATAAATATAAATATAAATAAATAAAATATAGATATAATATAATATAAATAAAATATAAAAATAAAGATAACTATAAATATAAATAAAATAAAAATAAAATAAAAATAAAAGTATTTAAAATAAATAAAATATATAAAATAAAAATGAAATAAAATATAGATATATATTATCTAAATAAAATAAGTATAAATATCAATAAAATATAAATATAAATATAAATAAAATATAAATATAATAGAAATATAAATATACTACATATATTAAAAATAGAAATGTCAGACTCCTGGTAGCTGCATGACATCTTTATTTTTATTGGCAAGAGAAGCAGTATACACAGCAACATTGCAGTCTCTTAGCTTGTTAAAAATATCTCAATAAATAAAACAAATAAGCCACATATACACTGGAACAGAAAAAAAAAAGAAAAATAATAAAAATAAAAACAAAAAAAAAAGGAGGGGGGATGAGCTGTAGCAAATCATGGAGCAATAAGGGAGAGGTGGCAGAGTGTGGAGGGCAGTCTGTGATCCAGGCTTTATTGTCACAAATCATGCAGGGAGCTGGGCACACTGTGGGCTTTAGTCCTTCTTTTCCTATTTTTTCTGAGAGCCTTGGTCCGGTTTTGCCACGACTGTACAAGAAATCAGGGTTTGACTTTCAAAAAATAACTCAAAAAAGGAAAAAAAAAACCAAACAAACCCAAACCCGCTACAGTTCAGGGGGAGTAAAACCAAACCCAAAGATGTCTCATCGATGCGTTCCTGAATTAAGATTTCTCTTGGTTTTTTTCAGGAAAAAAAAATAAAAATTGGCGCTAAAACCCCAAAGCTGGGGACAGACAGACAGACACGAAATCCGACGGACACGGGCAGCCAGGAATGTCGCTTCTCCTCTTCTCGCTGCTCAGCGGCTTTGGGGGGAGATGTTGCAAACTTTCAGCCCGTTGGGTGCTGTTTTCTGCTCAGTCCAAGTGCTCCACCGAGAGTTCAGAGCCAGGGAGGTCAAGAGGGGTCTTTTGGACCAGTTGACTTGAGGTTTTTAAGGTTTCAGAAGCTACAAACTTGGATAAATCCCAATTCCACTTCAGTTGCAGATGCTGGACAGTCTGGAGAGAAGGCAAAAAAGAAGAGAAGAAAAATAAACACACTGAACATCTTTCTGAGATGTGTTGCCTGGGAAGTTCTTCTTCCCTAGAAGTCCAGTTGTGGTTCATATCCACCTGTTCAATCCTGCCCCTCATCCCAGAACGTGGTGAATCCGTGCTGGGAGAGATCCAGTTCACCAGGAGCATCCCCTAGGCCTGGGGATGGGAAATGCCTTAAGGAATGGGGAGATGGGATGCTCAGCCTCCTGAGATGGGCTTTAGAAAGCCCATCCACAGCTCTTCCCACACAGTCAGGCAAATCCTGATGGAAAGGAGTGTTTTCTTTCCATGCAATATCCAAACTCAAAAGCAACAACGAAAAAACATCATAAACTTCCCAATTCCTTTGACTTTGGGATGTGCAGCCCAAGTTCAGAGTCAAAAACCAGATATAATAATTTCCCCTCACTAAGGAAAGCTTCCATTTAGCTGATTTCCATTTCCCTTTCCATTTCCCTTCCCTTCCTTTCCTTTTCCCAAACCTTCCCAACCCCCCCCTTCCATCTCCAAGTCATTAATTATCTAATTACAACCACATTCTGCAGACGAGCTCAGGGACTTGACAAGCTGCCCAGGACCACTTGGAACTGAGCTCAACTGCTTTGGGTGGTGGGCTGGGGATGCCCAGCCTGGCAGATGACAGGCTGACCCTTTCCTAAGGCTGGCCAGGGAGGGATTCAGGGCAGGAAAATAAAATCCAGGGAGGAGGAAGATACCACAGAGCAATTTTCTGATGGGTTTTTTTGTTTTCGTGATGATTTTCTGCAGCAGGCAGAGGGAGGGGGGGAGGGTGGACACCCTGCCAGCTACAGGAGGCTTTGCTGTGCCCTGCTCTTCTCTGAGCTGTGAAAACGAGGCAAAACCTGGCAAAAAGCAATCCTGGGCTGCTCCATTCCCAGGGATTTTTTCAATCCCACCCAGGACTGCAGAGGTGAGCACAAAGCTGCCCTCGGAGCAGAGCTGTGATGTGGGAGCTGATGATTTGAACCCCGGGACAAACACCTTGCTCTGCTGCTGCTGCCCTGAGGTATCTCATTTCCAATGGTTCTTTCTGGTTCCCAGCAGCTCTTTTGGCTCTGGAGAGAGCCAAAGAACAGCTGGAGAACTGGGAATTTCGCAGCAGTTCAGAGCTAGGAGGTGTTGTGGCTTCCCTGTTCTGGTGTGGTGACGCTCCACCCTGTGGGCAGTGGCCCCCGAGCTCTGGAATGGCTCTGCCATGTCCCCTCCTGGGCTCCCAGGGGGTTGTCTTGGAGGCCCTTTCCAACCCAAACCACTCTGTGGTTCTGTGACATTATCCTCTGACTCTGGCTTGAGATCCTCACGTCAGGAATCTGCTCCTTGAGTCCTGCATGGGGAAGCTCCCGGCTGAGGAAGAGGGGAAAATGCCCTCAAACCGTCTGTGGGCTTCTCTTTCCTCCTCTTGTCCCCACCCCACTGCAGCCAAAGGCTTCGTGGAGGCTCCCTCTTCCTGCCCCTTGGTCCTGGAGTGTCCCACCTGGAAGTGTCCCAGTAAACCCAGTGCCTTCTGCTGGCCCTGATTCCCCACTCCTCACACACCAGGAGGGGAAGCACGACCCCAGTTGCTTTCTGGAGCTGGAAAACGAGGCAACAGGACCCTCTTGGCTCTTTCCCCTCTTTAATTACAGAGATCAATGGAGCTGTGGCACCTGGGGACGTGGGGTGGGACCTGGCAGTGCTGAGTTAATGGTTGGACTCGAAGATCTTAAAGGTCTTTTCCAATCCAAAAGATTCCACGGGGAATCTTACTCTGGAAAGAAGCAGCTCTGGATGTTCCGAGGAGGGGGAAGAGTTTCTTCCCAGCGCTAAGCTGGTGTGGTAGCAGAGCTTTGCAGAGCTTGGTTTTAATCTCAGCCCATGCACAGCTGGGATTGCCCTCCCTGCCTGTGCCTCTGGTTGGGAAACCCCAGTTCAGCCCTTCCCATCTCCCAGTGCCTGTGGGATTTGAGCCGGTGGTGCCTGTAAGGCACCTTGGGATCCTCCAAGGCATAGCTGGATGCCACAATTCCATATGATAATAATGTAGGATTGCAGTATCTGGGCTGAGAGGTGATGTACAGTGGCAGTCTCTGCTGGAAACACATCTCACAGAATTCCAGGATGGATTGGAAGGGACGTTAAAGCCCAGCTCATTCCCATGGGCAGGGACACCTTCCACTAGCCCAGGTTGCTCTGAGCCCTGTCCAACCCGGCCTGGAACACTTCTAGGGATGGGAACTACTTTCTTCTGGGATTTCCAAACATTTCTCAGGGATTTCCAAACATTTCTTTGGGCTTTCCAAGCATTTCTCCCACCCTGTAGCTCGCTCAGACCCAATGCAGCTCCCTTGAACGGAGGGCTTCCTGCTCTAGTTTTCCCTGCTTTAGGAGCACTTCCCAGCCACATAAGGAGCATTCCACAGCCTGGAAAACCCAAGGGCTTCTGGCTTGATGGAAGGTGGCAGCAAAACACAGCCCTGGCTGCAGGAAATTTCACAACAAGTCCCCAAGGCCTTTGCTTATATAGGATTGGGGTGGTTTGGGTTACAAAAGGAGTGAAATCATTTCCATGACGTGGCCAAGAGTGCAAATGAAGTGGGAAATGCAGGGAAACTGTTGGAGTTTGTTAGTTAGTTGGTTTTGGTGGGATTTGGTGTGGTTTTGTTGTTGTTGTGTTTTGTTTTGTTTTGGGGTTTTTTTAAGGTTTTTCAGCTTCTTTGAAAGTTGAGAATGCAAAACAAAGCTTCTGCCCCCAGGGCTCAGCCTCTCTCCTTCCACGGGGGCTTCTTCCAGCCCAAATCCCTCCCAGGAAGGTGCTGGCCCACCTTCCTGCCCTGTTTTTGGGGGGCAGGGAGGGGCTCAGGGGGTGGGGGAGGTGAGGGGTGTGAGCACAGCAGCGGGGAGGGTTTCAGCAGTCACTGAGAAGGTTATAAACCATTTCCTACTCCCTTTCCCTTCACCTTGGGGAAGGAAAAACCAGTGTGGTTTAGCCCAGCCCTGCTCAGTGGGACAGCACAGGGCACTTCCCATGGGAGCTGCCTTTGGGAACCTCTGGAGTGGGTGCTGGAAGGAGCTGGAGCTGCAATAAGCATTGAGGTTACTGGTCCTCATCCGTGCTGTTAATCCAGAAGGATTTAGTGCTCCAGGTGCTGCATAAAAACTGGTAAGATATTCCAAACCTGTTATAGGGTGAATGGGGAAGGAGAAGTCCTGTGTTGAGCTATTTCTGCTTGGAAATAATGCCTGGACAGGGCAGAGCAAGTGCCTCAGGCAGTGACCTCTCTGGGTGTCACCCAGGGCTGGAGAGAATCTACTTAGTCATCAAGAGGAGGAAAATGGGATAGAGAGGAGCTCATGGAACCCCAGACTGGTTTGGGTTGGAAGGACCTTAAAGCTCATCCAGGGACACCTTCCACTAGCCCAGGTTGCTCCAACCTGGCCTTGGACACTTCCAGGGATGGGGCAGCCACAGCTTCTCTGGGAATTCCATCCCAGCCCCTTCCCACCCTCACAACCAAGAATTTCTTCCTAATATCCCATCCAAACCTCTCCTCTTCTAGTTTAAAAATTTATTCTGGAATAGTCCGAGCAGTGCTGGGTTAGGACACAAAAGGGGACTCTCCTGCTGTAGAAAATCAGCCCAATCTTTCATTCTGTGCTAAGCAGCAGCTGCCTTTAATATTATTTTTCAAAATAAACGAATAAATAGGAGCAGTTCAGTTACTGCATGATGTCACCCCCCTGGTGCCTCCTTCCCTGTGGGCACAGGGACGGGCTAAAACCACAGGGAACAATGTGGAGCGTGACTTGGGAGACACAAGTGGGCCTTCCCAGGGAAAAGGGCTGGCCTGGAACTCTGAAATGCCAAAGCAAGAGGCTCCAGGAAGAGGGTTGTGCTTTTTTAAGCTTGGAAATGCTGAGCTGGAGAGGAGGATGGATCTCTGTGTCTTGTCTCCCAGGCTGGAAGTCTGAGTTTGGATCATTGTGGGGGGGGGAGAGCCCTGTGTCACCTGGGAGAGCGGGATGGATGGAGGTTCCTGGCTCCTACAGCCATCCCATCCTCCTCTGTCCCTACAGCCATCCCATCCTCCTCTCTCTCCACAACTATCCCATCCTCTTCTCTCCATAACCATCCCATCCTTCTCTCTCTCCACAACCATCCCATCCTCCTCTCTCTCCACA